CTCTCTCCACCGACATCAACACAGAACCGACGACATACAGACAAGCTCTCAAAGATGAAAAATGGAGGAAATCAATGTCCACCGACGACAACAATAATTTACGAGAACACAGATGGGACCTCGTGCCACCGCCTCAGAACCACAATGTCATTGGATGTCGATGGGTGTTCAAGACAAAGTATCTGGCTTCAGGGAATCTTGACAAAATACAAATCTCGCCTTGTTGCAAAAGGATACCATCAGGAGTATGGCTTGGACTACAAAGAGACTTTCAGTCCGGTTGTTAAGTCCACTTCAATACAATTGGTTCTTGGTCATGCCGAAAGCTCTGCTTGGCCACTTCGACAACTCGATGTGAATCATGCGTTCCTTCAGGGTACACTCACAGAAGAAGTTTACATGTCACAGCCGCCTAGCTTCATAGACTCTGATCGTCCAGACCATGTCTGTAAGCTGAATAAGGCGATTTATGACCTTAAACAGGCACCCAGGGCCTGGTATTTGGAGCTCAAGAACTACTTACTGGGTACTGGTTTTCACAACAGCTTGTCCGACGCCTCTCTCTTCATATTCAGCCATGGTTCTTGTCTCATTTACAACCTCATCTACGTTGACGACATTTTTGTCACTGGTAATAACAGTAATGCCATGGCACAAGTTTTGGCGTCTCTTGCTGATTGTTTTCCTCTTAAGGATTTGGGCAATGTGAACTATTTTCTGGGCATCGAGGTCACCGGTACATCGCAAGGTCTTCACCTGATGCAGCGCAAATACATACTTGATCTCCTCGCCAAGACAAACATGGTCGACGCTAAGACTGTTGCTACTCCTCTTCCCGCATCACCAAAGCTCACACTAAACACTAGTACGACACTTACTGATGCTTCTGAATATCGTATGGTAGTTGGGAGTCTTCAATATCTCGCATTTACACGACCCGACATCTCCTTCGCGGTAAATCGGCTCTCTCAGTTTATGCACAAACCAACCACCAATCACTGGCAAGCTGCCAAACGAGTACTTCGCTACTTGGCTGGCACACCCACACATGGCATCGCTCCCTCGACACAATACGCGAACGTTACACGGATTTTCCGATGCTGATTGGGCTGGCGATCAGGATGATTATGTCTCGACGAATGCATACATCGTTTACCTTGGGAAGCATCTGATCTCTTGGTCCTCTAAGAAACAAAAAGGAGTTGCTAGATCCTCTACAGAAGCAGAATACAGAGCAATTGCGAACACAGCTCAAGAACTCCGATTGATCTGTAATCTCATGTCTGAGCTACGAATACCACTACCCTCTGCTCCAGTCATCTATTGTGACAACATCGGAGCGACGTATCTCAGTGCAAATCCAGTTTTCCATTCCCGTATGAAACACATCGCACTTGACTATCACTTTGTCTGCAATCAAATTCAGACTGGTTCTCTCCGTGTCTCTCATGTCTCCACAAAATATCAGCTTGCTGATGCCTTAACAAAAGCACTACCAAGAGCAAGATATCATCTCGCAAGGTCCAAGATTGGAGTCACCGAGGTACCTCCATCTTGCGGGGGCGTGTAAGTAATATAAGATTAGTAAATATCAAGGACCTCTATGTAATTATATTAACTTGTATGACTATATATACTCGTGTAAATCCCTCTTAATAAAGTATTCACATTCTAAACCTATAGTTAGTTCGGTTCTTCATAACATCTCAAATTTTTGGTTAGCAGCTTTTGGCTTCCAAACAAGTGTATCTAGGAAATAGATAAGCTCTGTTCTGGTTTTTTGTGGTCTGGTCTGGCTCTGAAACCACAAAAAGCAAAGATGGCATGGGAGGATGTCTGTAAACCAAGAGAAGAGGGAGGTCTGGGTGTGAGGCCTTTAACCGAGGTCAACACGGTTTACTGTCTCACACTGATTTGGCATACTTAATCAGACAAGAAACTCTCTGGTCGATAGGAGAAAACTCAAGTGCAGGTTCATGGATGTGGAGGAAAATTCATAACTATATAGATCTCGCACAATGTGACATCCCAAGAATCTCATTAAGAGCAAAAAAGGACATTTGGTTAAGAAAACCCTAATTCTAGCAAGTCTCATCTTTTACCCTATATATAAAGTGAGTTCGTGGCAGAGAAGGATCAGAGAGATCAGAGCAGCGAAGCCCTGCTGGAGTCACATTGGAGAAGCCACCATCAAAACATCTCGTAGAAGAAGCTATTGCAGTAACCTAGAAGGCTGATCCATCATGTTCTGGCGTGAGAGATAATCGGGTAGTCAAATCAGATCAGATTGGCACGAAACTTGGTAAGATGTTTCTAGATCCTCATATCTAGCTATAGCCGCAAACGAATTATTATTTGGAGTTGTCTTCTAAAAGTTATGAGTGTTTTCCCGAGTCATATTTGCAAAGGTCCGATCCGCGAGCAGCTGAATTGTGAAGCGTTTTTCCGGAGATCTAGGAAGCTTCAGAAGGATATCTATATACCGGCGTGAAGATCTCCAATCCATCTTCCCAGATCAATATTTTGATATCCATTCCGAGCTGTGACAAGAAAGTTATGATCGTTTTTCTGTTGGATGTCAAACTGTCCGAAGATGAACCATATTCGTTATTCATCAAGTGGCAAAGGTGAGGCAGGACTTGTGAATCTATAGGTTGTCTTAAATATAGTTTTATATGTGTGTGCTGAATCTAGAATTATAGATTGATTGGTAATTTAAACGAACATGAATGATTTTTTTAGAACTGTTATATGTACTGTTAGTTGGTGTTAGTTTAGGCGCGTTAGAGCGCATGATTGATCCAGACCTATGCACGGATTGCTTGCTGGTCTTCACGGGACGTTTCGTGAAGTGGGACCATGGCTGGACCATACACAGAGGAAGTATGTCCAGTACAGGGGCTGACGGGCCTGTGAGATTTGTGGCTGACTAGTCACCAGATTTAAACAATGTGACGTTCTCGTGAGTGGTAACTTGTGTGTTAGATTTCTATGCACTTGTGAAATATTTTTGATTGTTGTTTGTCTAATCTTTGGTTAAGTGGACATATATTTGGTTATGTTTAATTCTTCGTATAGATCAAGTAGACAGGTAGGATCGTTCTCACTGAGTATCTTCAAAATGTTCACCCCTCTTTTTCCTTTCAGGTGTTGTTTAAAATATCATTTTGGCGTGGATTGTAAGTCAAGCTATTCAATAGGGTTTTCCCGGTTTGGGGTGTCTCACACAAGCTTTTCATAGAGTTGACATTCGAAGTGGCCTGAAGACTAATTTTTTGTATCTGATATGGGGAGGCTGTTTGACTTGACGGGTCTGCGAGGTACCATTGATTTAGGAATCCCACTCAACGCCTTAATAGTTTCGAGTTACAGAGGAGAAGGAAACGTCATCGAAATGATGTCTTAAATGAGATTGAAGAGGTTCTGGTGACCAAACGACTGCAGGTCCAAACTGATATAGAAGATGTATCGCTTTGGAAGAGTATGGAAGGGAAGTTCAGACTAGGTTTAGCTCGAAGAACACTTGGTTGTTCACAAGGGTAACATCTCCTCGGATAGATTGACAAAAGGGTATTTGGTTCAAACACTCAACCAAAAAATATTTTGGAATTAAGTATTAAACCATAATAATTTAAATCGGTTTGTTTTAAGTTTTTTTTTATACATCATCAGATAATAATCAATAAAAAATGACATATAATTATAAAATGGAGCTAAACGATCTTTTTCTGAAGCCAAAACTAATTCTGGAGCTTACACATAAGCAAAAAAATTATAAAACTCACCATAAGCACTGTAACATCCCGATTTCCGGTATATGGAAAGGCTTATAAGGATTGATTTTGCTACCTATGTCAACAAAGTGCACTTATCTTTTTCGGTCAAGTGTGCTGAGAGAACTCCAGAGTTAAGCGTGCTGATGCCTGAGTAATCTCAGGATGGGTGACCTACCGGGAAGTACTCTGCGGTACCGTGCGAGTGAGGACAAAGCACGGGAAAAGATCATGTGGTGATTGCAGGGACAGTAGACAAGTATTACGAGCCTTCCGGACTAACGACTCCCGACCGTCGGACAGTGGTGGACCAACGGGCTTAGAGAGGGCGTTGGGCCAACAGGCCTAGAGAGAGGACGTTGGGCCCACGTGCCTAGAGAGGGCGTTGGGCTCACTAGGAGGGGCGGTTGGGGAGAGTTAGAATTGATATCGCCGGTCCGCGTCTGGTCCCTAAAAGGAGGGCGGGTCGGGATGTCACAAATGGTATCAGAGCTGACACCCAACCACGTGTGTAGAGTCGTCATGTGGCCTCACACCGTAACAGGGTGAACGATCCTGGTGCAAGCACTGTGGGAGTAAAGAAAGAATTCGGGGACGAATTCCTTGGAAGTCGGGGAGAATTGTAACATCCCGATTTCCGGTATATGGAAAGGTTTATAAGAATTGATTTGGCTACCTATGTCAACAAAGTGCACTTATCTTTTCCGGTCAAGTGTGCTGAGAGAACTCTAGAGTTAAGCGTGCTGATGTTGGAGTAATCTCAGGATGGATGACCTATCGGGAAGTACTATGCGGTATCGTGCGAGTGAGGACAAAGCACAGGGAAAGATCATGTGGTGATTGCAGGGACAGTAAACAAGTCTTACGAGCCTTCCGGACTAACGACTCCCGACCGTCGGACAGTGGTGGGCCAACAGGTCTAGAGAGGGCGTTGGGCCAACAGGCCTAGAGAGAACATTGGGTCCACATGTTTAGAGAGGGCGTTGGGCTCACTGAGAATGACAGTTGGGGGGAGTTAGAATTGATATCGCTGGTCCGCGCCTAGTCCCTAAAAGGAGGATGGGTCGGGATGTCACAAAAACAATGAGTAAATCACTTCTCTAAAAAAAATCCATCTGATCGCGTTAATGATGCTCTAAATATCATTTTCCGCACAGCTTATTAAACCGGCCGGAACTGAAACAAAATAAAATACCAATCACACAAAATAAAGTACAAAGCGGCCAGAACCAATTCTTGTATTTTTTTGTGTCAAATAAACCAATTAAAGCTTCCTCTACGTCTTCTTCTCCACGGCGAAGAGTAACCACAAAAACATTGTCTTCTTCTTCTTCCTCATACAATCGCTCTGCGAAAATCTCATGGTCTTTCGAAAATGGTGAAGGCTTGCAACTTGACGTGGCCTTCCGCACCACCCGGATTCTCCACGCCTTATCCGCAACGTCACGCGTATACCTCACGCGCCGCCCCTTTACTGCGGGTGAAGGCCTTCCAGCGCGGAGACTTCGACCGCTTCGCCAATAACATCAAGTCGGGGAAGGCTTTGAGAGACGCGTGGCGGACCGCGAACGATGGATTTGAGCAATTCGTCTTTGAGGCGAAGAAAACCGCCGAGCGCATCGATCGTCAGTACGCCGTCTCTCGCCGTTTAAGCTCAGCCGCAAGCTCCGCTGGTGACCGTGCTCGTGAGATTGATCGCGAGTTTGGGATAAGCCCACGCGTCAGGAGCTTTTCCGTCGATTTTAGTAGAAATTTCCCCAAGGTGCGTCTTCCTGTAGTTTCGATTGCTTAAGCTAGATTCTGCTATTGATAATTTTGAGAATTGAACTTGCTAGTGAGCATCTGTCATAAGGACCTTTAATTTTCATTTCGTCTAGATTCTAAATTTCTCGAGTCTTGACTGTTGCTTTTGTGATTATTCCTGATGTCATATTATCAAATGGAGCAAAATGGGAGTAGCCATTGTATCTCGACATGTTGGAGGCCATTGAAGAGAAAGCTCATACTTTTGAATTAAAGAGCTTTCGATTCAGTTCCTTTTTCTTCGTCATTTGTTTTCGATGGACTAGATGCACATTTACTTCTTATGTATACACTGGGCTATTGGATCATTCCTGTGTATTTAGTTGGTTCAATAGAATTAGTGCTGTGATTGATAATACTTGAGAAACGATACTACATGATTGTACTTACAAGACTGTTGCTTGTTCTGAGTTTTTTCCCACTTGTTTTATTTTACAGTACCGGAAGCAATTCAGTGATTTCTTGAACACACCGCTCGGTGGAAGTTTTGCGGTAAGAATTTTTCTCTTACTTTTACTCTACTATGTATCTACGATTGAGCTGGAACTGATAATTTTGAAGGCAGTATCCTTATATCAATATTTCAACAAGATCTTATCTGCATAAGCTCAATGCTGATCTTGTTGTGATCCTGTGTCAATGAGTCACCTGATCTATCTGTCCGTTGTGTTCTTTACATCCTTTTGGCTCTATTGCAATCTACTTTATTAAAAGCAACAGACTTGAACTATGAAACCAGAATTTTTTTATGAGCAGTGGCCTGATTTTGTATAGGCTGTCCGATTATAAAGGCTTAGTGACTCCTAAGAGAGTTTATAATCCTAATCTTGGATATTCTTTGATTTCATATTCCAGACTATTTTCTTTCTTTGGTTTGCGCTCTCTGGATGGTTGTTCCGAGTGATAATAATCGCGACATGGGTTCTTCCAATTGCTGGCCCTCTTCTTATTGGTGCAGTGGCCAATAACTTCGTCATCAAGGTATATAGCTAATAAAACTCAGGTCCTTTTGTCCACATTCTTGGATTTAGTATTTGATATGACATATAACCGATATTGTGACCTGTATTTTCTTGAATCAAATGCTTCTAAAGCTCTGTTATATAACGTTTGGTGCTGCACAGGGAGAATGCCCGGCGTGTAAGAGACAGTTCATTGGATACAAGAACCAAGTCATCAGATGCGAGGGATGTAGAAATATAGTGTGGCAGCCACAAGGCGACTTCTTCTCAAGAGAGGGCAACAACAACAATAACGACAACAACAACAAGGGTAACTCTAAAAAGCCACCTAAGTCCCAAATCATCGATGTCGACTTCGAGGAGAAATGATGATCAGAGAGAGAGACCGATATAGTAGGTGACAATGAAGCAGAAGGCGATTTAAAAGTGTGTTTCGGTAGTAGCTGAACCATTTGCCGTTTTTGTTTGTTTTAAGCTGCAGCTATGCGGAAAGGCACTCGTGTTGCTTGTTATGTACATGATATATAAGGACTTTGCGTAGATGAATAAATTTAGTTTCCATGAGAACACAGGCCAACGAGACTTGATTAGAACTTCGAAAGTAATTTACACCAAAATCTAAATCTGAAGATGAGCAAACTGAGATCCTAGTAGAGGCTGCAGTTGTAGTGGTAGCAACTCTTCTTCCTCTTTGTTACTTTAATATTAAGGGAGGATTGCTATTGTGACCTTTAAAATAGCTGAAATTAGTATAACAATCTTACATTCTCGAAATTAGCAAAATAATCTTTTTAAAAAAAAAACCTGATTTTACCCTTAGGATAATATTAAGGGAAGATTGCTATTGTGACCTTTAAAATAGCTGAAATTAGTATAACAACCTTACATTCTCGAAATTAGCAGAATAACATTCCTTTTTAAAAAAATCCGATTTTACCTTTAGGAAGCTTTGGTGAGAAAAAACGTATTTACAAAAATGCCATTATTAAATTATTTCCACGTCAGCCGTTAAATTGGACTACCGACAAATAAATCTATCAATATGAATGGTAGACTTATATGTTTTGGTAGATTTAAAAAAATGTCGACGTGGGACACTCAACGCCCACGCTATTGACGGTTAGGTGTTGGGTCGGTGGATGTAAATGGAGGGTTCGAGCTTCGACGGTTGGAGATGGAAGACAGTTCTATGTCAAAACATACTACGGTTTGCACACTTGTTCTATCACGATGCGTTCTTCACGTGCCCGACAAGCAACTCCTGAGATATTAGGACGGCTTTATAAGGATTTTGTAGGTGGAGTAGGTAATTCAGTTACCCCAAATCACGTTTCTGATGCGCTAACCAAACGATATGGAATCAAGGTAAGGGTTACATATTGTAAGCTTAGTTTGGTAGATTTGATGTGTAGTTAGGTAGATTTATTTAACATATGGTAGATTTGTTTCCAATAGTTAGGTAGATTTGTTTTCAATAGTTAGGTAGATTTGTTTCCAATAGTTTGGTAGATTTTTTTCTTGGTAGATTTGTTATTAATAGTTAGGTAGATTTGTAGCCAATGGTTTGGTAGATAGAGTAATAGTGTATAATGGATAAGTGGAGTATTGGAAAGCTTATCGTGTATTGAAGTATGCATGCGAACTAGTGACTGGGAGTTCAGAGGACAGTTACGAGGACCTTCCATCCTACTTATACATGATTAGACGAGCTAATCCAGGAACACTCATCAAGCTCGAAGTGGATTCGGAAGACAAGTTCAAGTTTATGTTCCTTGCCTTTAGTGCGAGCATTCAGGGGTTTCCATTTATGCGGAAAGTAGTGGTGGTTGATGGTACCTTCTTAACAGGTAAATACAAAGGTACACTACTCATTGCCACAACGCAAGACGGGAATTTTAATATATTCCCAATTGCTTTCGGTATCGTTGATACTGAGAATGATGAATCGTGGGAATGGTTCTTTGCACAACTACATCGAGTTATACCTGATGATGAAGGACTTGCCATGATTTCAGATAGACATAGATCTATTGGGAAAGCTATAACAAAAATTTAGCCTCTTGCTTCGCGTGGTATTTGCACGTATCATTTGCACAAGAATATATTGGTCAAATATAAAGGTGGGGAAGCTTTTCGCCTTGTCAAGAAAGCAGCAACAACATATAGGCTTTCAGATTTCAATGTCTTAATGGCACAGATTCAGGGGTGTAACCGAGGACTATATGACTACTTACAAAAAGCGGATGTCCGGATGTGGAGTCGTGTTCATTTTCCGGGACAGAGGTACAACTTCACTACTAGCAACATAGCGGAGTCTTTAAATAAGGTCCTTTCAAAGGTTAGAAGTTACCCAATTGTGACACTATTGGAGGAGATTAGATCGCTTTTGACTAGGTGGTTTGCCAAAAGGCGCCGAGCTGCAAATGATATGGAGACCGAGCTTACTACTGGTGTTGAGAAATTGCTACAGGTATAGTTTTGGTAGACATATTCTACAGTTTGGTAGATTTATTTGTTAATACGATAGACTTAATTACATATTTTGTGTACAGGAAAGGGTCGAAGGAGCAAAGCAACTAGCAGTGCAAGAAATCGACGACCATCTTGCACAGGTCACCGGTGTCTCATCCTTACATGTTGTCAATTTGGAAAGGAAAACATGTACTTGCCGACGGTTTGACATCGATAAAATACCGTGCGTCCATGCCCTTGCTGCAGCGGAAGCTAAAAAAATTTCCCGTATCAGTCTAGCCTAACCTTACTACCGTAGGTCATACCTTTTGTCGGCATACGCGGGGACGGTAATGCCAAGAGATGTCGCTTTACGTGTACCCGAAGAAGTGGCTAACAAAGTCTGTAAGCCTCCTTTTGTTCGTAAACCACCTGGTAGGCCAAAAAAATCACGAATGAAAAGTGCTTTAGAAATAGCAATGCAGAAGAAACGTCCAAGGAAAGAGCACAAGTGTTCCAAATGTGGCCAAGGCGGACATAATCGTGCGACATGCCAATCTTGATCGTGTGTGGTCAGTGTAATTAATGTACTTTGCACTCTTTTACTTTAATAAACCCCATATGTAATAAACATATTTGTTGTAGTTGAAAGTCTTTTACTTAGCTTCTGACCAAGCCTATATTTGTGTAATGATCATGTTGAGAAACTTTAACCATGTAAGCAGTTCTATGCAACGTGATATAACCACCATATATGATACATAAGTCTACCATATAAGATACATAATGGTAAATAAGTCTACCATACATAGTACACAAGTCTACCATTAATAACTCTACCAAACAAGTTTACCATTCTACCAAAAAGTCTACCATATATGTCCAATTAAGTCTATCTTTCTTTATGACTTAAGTCTACCAATCTCCTAGGAAAGTCTACCATATACAAAAAACTATATAAACAAGTCTATCATTCTTTTTGAATTAAGTCTACCATTCTCCATACAAATGTCTACCATATATGTCAACACCTTTACAATAACTCTACCATACAATATGCTTAAACTTACATACCTTATTGTCAGGCATATTCTGTTTCTCCTCATTGATCACCGTCTCTAGACGGAATCGCT